GCGATTCAAATATAAAGCCCTAAACTCACAGCACACCTTTAAAGGCTGGTTTCATTTTCCATTTCAACTAGCGTGACTGTAGCTAGTTTATGATAAGATACTGTAATCAGTCCATCACGTCTTGCTGCTTTTGTTCTGTTTTTGTTTGTTTTGGGGGTTTTTTTTCTCCCTGTGATGGATACATCCTTTTGATGCATTGTTAGAGTGAATTGTTAAATGTTGTCATTTCTATGCTTGCCAACTCTGATGAAAGAAATTCCACTGTCCTTCCCCCCAGATTCTCGAGGTTCTAGGTGTGGGGCTGTAATCTTTTATTGCAGATACATCCTATCTGGAAGATCTGCTTCTTTTGATGTAAGCTTCCTGTGTTTACGACCCTTTGGTCAGCAGGAGGTCTGACACACACACACGCACACATTCTTACAGAAGTTCACACATATACATACAATGCCTTGTCTTAGAACCATGTGGGCGTGGCTTTGTTCTGATGTTTTTTGTGTGAACTGTCTCTCAATAAAAAGGGAACAAGGGAGGTCGTCGTCGAGGTCATTTTCGTGGTGGACACAGGCCTCCCTTGCGCAAATAATCGATCGATCGACTGTCTTGTTTTCTTCACGATGAATACGTCTCTAGAATTAGCGGGGCTTGTGGAAACACAGACCCAACATGCATATTTGTTGCAAGTAGAACAACACAGAAATCATTATACCAGTAGTTTTAAGTTGTCATATCGTTAACGTGTTTATCTTTCTGTTGTTCTAATGTGTTACAAAACAATCGCATGTTATTGTATTTAGCAATGTAGCTTCCAGACATATAGTTTTATAGACGTTGTTCATATCAGTGCAATTTGATGTTGCCTTTGAAAAACTGGTGTTTCCCAAAAGTTGATTCTGTTCATCTGGACGTAGCGTTTTGTGACTTCTTCTTCAGTCTCATGACTGCAGGTTTCCACAAATCTTATAAACAGTACATTTGCATAATGACTGAAACCATGAAGGAACAATGGGCTGGAAGGTCAGTTCCTTAATCTTAATTATGCAAATTCTCATAACCATTGATCAACAACCACTGATCAAAGACCATGAGTACCATTCACAGAGAGTTGAGGAATGGCTGCAATCACAGCATTGTAAGATGGCCAGGACTCTGCAGTCTATTTACACCTACAGGCCAGTGGACAGTCTTTTAATGATAAGGATGTAACATCCTGGACAGGGAGGAACGCTGGTTTGAGCGCTGAGTTAAGGAGGCCATTTACATGAAAAGGAAAGACCTGAATTGAGGAGGGAGCCTAAGGGTACATCTGTCACCATCATACTATTCTGTGATTGCAGCCATTCTCCAACTCTGCGTGTGGTACTCATGGCCATTCATCACGTAGTGTGCCACACGAAACACAAGACACTTTGCAACCTGCTCTTTAATCCCTGCTTTGTACACGTTCATCATGTTTGTTCCTGCTCGCTTACTTTTTAGAGTTTATACTTGCCCAGTTTGTGTGGCACACCCACAATTTCATTGTACATGTACAATGACAGGAGAGGGCTTTTCTATTCTATTCTATTCTATTCTATTTGGTTTTTATTTACAAATCTTTAAGGTTATACAAATGTTACAATGGGAATTTCTGGGAAAACATTTCCTGAGAATTCAAGGGCATCACAGCTGTGTCATTGTGGGTTCTTTGTTCTAGTAACAGTCATCATATTGATAGTGATTCTTGGGAACGGCGCTAGGAAGAAAATGTGCAAATTCTAAAAAAAAGAGAGCCACAAAGTCTGACCAGTACTTTGTACCATATGATTTGAGTCTGATGTTCTTAGGGAAGAGCTAGTTACTCAAGGTGTTTCTGTTCAGCAGGGGATTTCAACCTGTTAATCCCTTGAGGGTGATTTTAAGTAAGCCAGCCAGACACAAACAAACATCGAGTGTTGTAACCTGAGTCAGGTGTTTGTGTCCCTCCTCTAAAGTTGTGTGCACAGAGTAGGTTATAATCACAGAGGTGGATGAGGTCACTTTGAGCTTGATTTTTTTATTTTTTATTCTCTTTTGTTGTGGATCTCCTGGAATAAAAAGTTATTCACACAAGCAGGTGACACATTCACATTTATGGAGGACCCGTTTTCCAACAAACAACACAAAACTAGGCTCATTACAGACTTGAATAGGAA